CATTTCATGACAATTTTATTTTGGTTGTATGTTTAGGTAAACTAAGTCAATATCTAAAATATATGTAGGAGTTCTGTGGCTCTTAATCAAAATAATTTAAAAGCCAAATCACTTGCAAGAAAGGAACAGGCAAGGAGACTTGGGCTCTGTGGCCAGGCAAGGGGCTGATATTTGGAGAGAAGGAAGGAGGAGCTGCCAGGTGTCCTGGGTCACTTAGAACACGGCTCACTCCCTACATAAAGACCAGCTCCCTGCTACCTATGGCACAAAAGACAGCAGACTTGAAGTTCACAAAGCATCTATGAGTGATGAGTGGTGTCCACTGCTCCAGGGAGAGAAAAATGCAAAAGTTACCGTTTCTAGTTCAAGTGCCCCAGTCTCAGTGCAGTCCACCTGGGGAGACACGCATTTCAACAAACCACAGTAGGATGTGGTGCGCACTGGGTCAGAGAGGAGTTCTAAGTCTGGAGAAGAGAATAGGGCTAGTCCTATAGACGAGTCCATGTATTTCCAAACACATGTGTTTCCAAGTGACGGTGCCAGGGAAGGTTCTGTCCCAGGCCTCTCTCCCAATTTCCAGTAGCTCCTTGGCTTGTGGCTGAATCGCTCCAGCCTCCACATGGCCCTCTCCCTGGGTCTCTGCTTCTTCACAAAACCATCTTCTTATTAGGACAACAGTTGTATTGGATTAGTGTCCCCTTTCTCTGGCATGACTTCATCTTAACTAATACCATCTGCAATGACTTTAGTTATAAATAAAACCACCTTCTGTGTCTCCCTAATAAGGAGACAGGGAAAAGAACAGGGTTTGCTTTAACCCTTGAGCACCAGCAGGGTTTTCTACCAAAGAGGAAGGCTATGGCATTCCAGAGGGGAGGAACCTCCTGGTGGCTGCCTCTGAAGTGCACAGAGACCTATTCTGCAGAGACCACACACATTCTTGAACAGTAAGCTCAGTAGGCAGCTCTTTCTGGAGGAGCCACGGGGAGGAAAGCAGCTGATCCGAAGGCTACGAGCTCTTGCACCTAACATACTGAGTCAGTCAACACTAGAGTATCCAGAAGTACCAGCTAGAGTCACATGCAAGATGTTACTGACTCCTCACAAGGGATATTATCATTTCCATGTCTGTGCTACTGAAATAGAGGCCCAGAAAGGTAAACCTCGTTTGGCAAAGGCACACAGCTGGTAAATAGAAATACCTTGGTCTGATTGACTTCAATGTCCTTTTAAGACTTTCCCCTGATGACACCATGGTAAGAGGCATCTTCTCAGAAGATCCACGCATGGTACATGTCTGTGCTCCTCTTCACAGCCACTTCATAAAGCTAGAGATGGCTGTTCTGCTTCTCTCCCTTTCCTCTATTTGCAGATAGCTCAGAAGGAAGGACGCTAGGTCCCACAAGGGTTGGTTCCATTTGCAGGGCACAGTGCCCAGAAGGAATCTAACCATAGCTTAGAACCGAAAAATACTCAATCTGGAAAGAAGTCCAAAGGCCCTGCCACCTTCTCTGTCATCAAAGCTGGCCCCAAAGTAGGGGACATCTGTCCCACAAATCTACAGCTGGCTGACCACAGGATCAGCAGGGGATCCAGATCTAGGAGGCTTTTGTAGAAATCCCAACACTGACATACTTTATAAAAGTTAAACGATTATTTAAATGGCTCCCACCTGGTATTAAATGCAGATAGCTGAAACCTGTTGGGTTGGGCCAAGCCCTAGAGATTTGATAGCAGTCCAATCAGTCATTCAACATTAATGCACCTTAGGTGCTGCAGGACACTCTGGCAAGACAGTGAGGGAGTGGGAAGCAGGCCGGCTCTGGAGACCCTCTACTCCAGCCATTGCAAAAAAATGATCAAATGGAAATATTCAGCCAAAGACCCTCAAATTATAGGCATTAAAAATAAACTAAATAAACTGGAAGAAATAAAGAACAGAATAAGTAAGTGGATGGGGGGGGTCATAACTGGAATCAGATGACCTAGTGAGTCACATGCAAGATGTAGGACAAGATAGGGTCCTTGAGCCTCAGTTTACCTTCCATGATATAGGACTTCCTCTCTACTTTTCACACTGGCATTATTTAAATAAAAGAGCATTTACAAAACTCTTTGGTAAGTATAAGTGACAAAATACATGCATGTTTTCTTTCATTAATTTCATGTTTGTGGCCTCTAGTGTCCAGCAAACTCATCTGGAAACTTCCTGCAAGCCAGAGACTCTCTCTGTGCCTTACTTGAGCCACTGGAACACCTGAGCCCAAAGTACTGCTGGACTAATCCCCTGGTGGTTTGACTGGCCTGGGACTAAGCACCTAGATATTTGAAATCATCTAGTTCATGCAAAAAAATTCTACTCTTCCCTGGGATTTTTAAATATGATCATAATAACATTTGAAGAAACCGCAATAAAATGCTGAGAAATCATTGGCCATCATCCAAATGCCATGAAGCACTATCTCTTCTGTTAATTGGGCTGTAAGCGACAGATGGAGGATGCAAATTCAGAACCACCTGGCACCCAGTGCATGCCCTTCCCACCTGGGTGCTCTTGACGCCATTAAATTGCTCTTCCTGTGTCCCTAGCTTTTAAAATAAGCAAGGGATTAGCCACCACTCCCAGAATGGGAAGTTGGCCATAGGGAGTCTTTAAGGACTACTGACCCATTGATTGGGGTGGGTCTGACTTATTAAGCAAGTGCATGGATTAGACGTTTGCAACAGGTATTCACAGCTCCTGAAAGAACTCCCATCTAAACTGTGCAGCTCAGCAGTATTTTTTTTTTTAAATGACGAGTTGTACCCAGGGGCACTTAACCACTGAGCACATTCCCCCGCCCCTTTTTTATATTTTATTTAGAGACAGAGTCTTGCTGAGCTGCTCAGGGCCTCGCTAAATTGCCGAGGCTGGCTTTGAACTTGCGATCCTCCTGCCTCAGCCTCCAGAGCCTCTGAGATTACAGAGGAGCACCCGCCCCCCCCATGCCCGCACAGCACTTACCTTTATTTCTTTGGAGGAGGATTGGCCAGAGGCCTTTTTGCCTCCCTTGGAGGATTTGGAGGAGGTGGAGGAAACGCCCTGCCTGCGGTGGGCCTTGAGGTCGCTGAAGCTGTTGAGGTACTTCTTGCGCAGGGCCAGCAGCTCCTGCAGGTACTGCAGACAGTCCTGGGTGCGCGAATACATCCAGGCCCGGTCCTCCTCCTGGGGAGGGTAGTACAGGCTGCTGTCCATGCTGCTCGTGCTTCTGTACTTCTTCAAGGACTCACTGAATTTCTCGCCGTGGTCCCCGACCACGTACATGGAGCTGCTGCGAATGAGCCTCGCGGTGGGACCGGCTCCGTTGCAGTAGGGGCTCTCCGCAGCAGCCTTCCTCTGCCGGCTGGAGCTAAAGATGGAGTGGATCTTTCTGAGCATGGTGCTCGGTTTCTCTCTGTGGGTAGCTTCCAGCTGCCTGCACCGCCGCCACTTGATCTAGCTGGAGGTAGAGGAGTCGACATCCAGGCCCCGCGCCATCTGCCTTCCAGGAGGCTCGGATCTCTGGAATCCCAGCGAGTGCCGCCTGGGTCAGGCCGGCGACATGCGCATCTCTCCTGGGGCGGATACTTACCTCCAATAATCGAGATGCCATAGACAATCTGAAGACCGAAGGTCGTGCGCTGTGAGCTCAAAGGCAAGCGCCCTGGCTGGCCTTAGGGATCATTCGTCCAAGTGCCTGGGGTGTTCTGCGATGGGAGACCCTGATTGGATGGGGACAGTGTGACAAGGCTTTACCTGCTCAGTTATTTTCTTTCCTTTTCATTTTCCTTCTCTGGACGTGGTCTCCATCAGTTGGACTTGCTCTGGGACTGGATTTTTACATGTCCACCTTGCCTGAGCTGGCCCTGGTGCTGAATTCTCTGGTTCCAAAATGAAATCCTACTTAACAGAGACACCCCTCCACCAAAAACGTGTGTGCTTCTCAAGATAAAATCCAGAACAGCGAGATGTGACCAGGGCCCTTGGCAAGAGCTCCAAGATGCCCCGATAAGCTGGGCTCTGAGCAGGCATCCGAGCGACCTGGAGGAGCCTCGCCCTGTGGTAAGGGGACCTCGCCGCCGTCACCGGATAGCAGCCCTTTTGTGGAGCGGAGAGGATTCAGGTGTCCATCCGCACTGCGACTTTTTGCATAAAAGTTCAGTGAGCTGAAGAGTGGCTGCTTATATGGGGAAGACTCGTTCTTTCATCTGAGCACATTTTAATTTAGACCCGTTAAAATCAGACATCCGCTATTTTTTTTTTTTTTCAAGAGCACTATATGAGTACATCACCATCCCAGAGATGTTCCCTCTAGGGGTTTTCTCAGGCTGGTGTTAAACATCGTTATTGCACTCATTTCTCTACACAGTCTATTTCTCTCCCAGAATTCAATTGGAGAGCTGAAGCCTGTGTCTCTAGGACCATTTTCTTAAGCCAGGGTAGGTGTTAGAGGAGATGAAAAACCCCAGAAATTGCATGTAAAGTGTTATTAGATGTATGCATTAACACACTTTATTTTTTGCCAATTGCTGGATTTGTTATATTTTATTGGTTTTTGAAAGAGAAAGGGTTCACAGTTTTATCAGACACAAAGAAAGACATTTTAAATGTTTATAAGCTGCTCTAAAACAATAACTATGCCTTTTATGTAGCTATAAAGTAACATTATAAATGTATTGGGACCCAGGGCATCCTCTGCGGGTGGCATGCTCCTTATGCTATGGGGATATAGCTCCTCATATGTAAAAGCACCTAAGGACTTTAGGGCTGATGGAACATTGCCACACATATTATTTATTACCTGTAGCTTCCTTGGAGAGAAGTGTCATTTCCATTATTATCTTTAATGGTCATCAGTTCACAGATGACAAAGGGCACCCTGAGGGGTTAGGAGCCTTGTTTAAGGTCTAAATGTTCCAGCTTCAACCTGATATGTCCCCTCCCTTCTGGGGACACATAAAGTCACCAGGATCCTAGGTCTCCTGGGAGGTCTCTTCTGGCCCATTTCTCTGGCTACACTCGGGCACAATATCAAAGTACCCAGGGTAGACAGGGGCTGGTGTCACTTCTTCAGAGGTAACCAAGGATTGTGACCACACAGCGTTTCTAAGTGGTTCATACCAGTATGTTTATGATTATGCTTATTCTACATGGATTGAGGAAAAAAGTATAAATAGATAAAAATTCTATCTACTTTCCTATTCCAGATTGTCATGTGTGACTAACTTCTTGATCACAAAAGAAATAAAACTAACTTTCTATACATTTTCCTCCTCCTCCTCCTCCTCCTCCTCCTTCTCCTCTCTCTCTCTCTCTCTCTCTCTCTCTCTCTCTCTCTCTCTCTCTCTCTCCCTCCCTCCCTACATCCTTTTTGAATTGTTTCCAAGATGAAGAGCATCAAGAAAAAACTATTCTGATGTCAACTTGCAGAGCATTGCATGCATGCTAATGGACAGGACATTCTGCAGCAGGTACAACCCAACTGGCTGACTCTCATCACCTGTTGTGTCAATCCTGCCCCTGAAGCCACCCCTCCAGAGCTCCTACTAAGGTGGTCAAGGGAAGAGAATACTGTCTGCCTACAAAATACCCATCATCTCTGCAGGATGAAGGAAATGCATCTGGAATGGCAACTGCCTGTATTGTGCCTTATTTAGATTGTGCTCATGGCCTTAATGAGACATGGGGGTGAAATCAAGCTTGAGTTTTAAAAAGTGCATTTTGAGGACACCCCCAAATACCCTCCAAATCCCAAATCAGGCATCCCTCTTTCCTTGCATCCTGGAGAACTATAGAGAATCACCTGGGCAGGAAGAGCAAAGAGGCCTCTTCCCATCGCCCAGCCCAGCCCTGCATACCAGCCCCATGATGCTCCCAGCTGGACACAGAGTTCAACCAAAGAATCTGCCTAAAGTGACTTGGTCTAACAAACCTCACTTTATTCTAGAATTTCTCAAAACTTTAAAGGTCAGAATTCCAGGACAGCAGCAGAAGTTAGGAGAATTTGCTCTGTAGTAATGCCGGCAGGGTCAGCCCTGGACACGAGGTGGAGAAGAGTGATTAAACACTGCCTGCTCTGAGGAAGCCTTGTCTTCTGGCAATGTTCATGGCCCAGGGAGGAGGGTGGAGTGGTGGAAAGAAGGTAAGTAAGAGCCTCATGGATCCAGTTTGAATCTCAGCTTGATGACCTATCACCTTACAAAAGTATTTAAAACCCTCTGAGCTTTGGATCTTCTATCTGCAAAAGTTCACACCACCTATTTCATAGAAGTGTTGCAATGATGAAATGAGATTGCATTGAATGAGTGTTCAACCAAAACCACAGACTACCTATTTCATAGGGTTCTTATGATTAAATGAGATAATATATCCTTTGGCCTCCAAATTTTCTCTCTCATCCTGTCTCCTCTGGTAACCACAGTGTTATTCTCTATCTCTGTGTATTCAGTATTTTTTTTATGCAGAGTTTTTCTTTCTATATTAGCATGATGTCCTCTGGGCCCATCCATGTTGTGGAAAGTGGCAGGCAGGATCTCCTTTTTAAGGTTAAATAATGTTCCACTGAATATAGGTTTTTTTATTCATGGATTGATCAATAGATACTTTCAGTGTTTCTGTATCTTAATTATTGTAAATAATGCTGTAGTATGCAGATATGTAGGGTAAATAAGTCTAGAGATCTAATGCACACCATGAGAACTATAGTTAATAATACAGGGCTGTATTTGGGGGGGGGGGTTGCCCAAAGAATAAGTTTTAGGTGTTCTTGCCCCAAAATGGAGGTTAACTGTATGAGATAATGAATATGTTAGGAATGTATATCAAGACGTTATGTTGTATGCCTTCAATAGGAACAATAAAATAAATAAAAAATGTAAAATGAGATAATAGTGCTTAACCATCTTATTTGCTTAAAAGTAGAAATTATTACTTTCTAACAATATGAAAAATCATTTGCTGCTACTTCTATTTTGCAGGTCCCACCATATAGTTGGCAAACTATTATCCCAGCCAAACATTTTTGATTCAGTCCTAATTCAAGAGGCCTCTTGTCCTTCAATATTTGAAGAGATCCACTAGGTCAAAATGGATCCATTTTAGTAACAGTTGATTTGGATACTACTGAATTACCTGCTGCTCTGAATAAGGTGGTCCCCTGAGATGCTGCTGGTCACTCTGTTGGGACAGCCCACCTGCTTACAGGGGCATCTTTCTGGACATCCCGTCCCTCCCCGGCATGGATTCAGGTGAGCACCTCATCATTTTTCCCCATAGCTTGGTGCGTGACAGTAAAGCGGGGCCTTTGAAGGCCAGGTCAAGGTCATGCCTCCTTCAATCCCACCCACCTGCAACTGCCCTTCCCATAAAGAGTCCTGGCTCAAAGAAGTCAATTGCTACCTTTGTCCCCTAATGGCACATCTAGGAATTCCCCTGGCTTTGTCCCTGACAGGAAAGTGACTTTGAGTCAGCTCAGCATTTCCCAGAAGGCTGGTGAAATGTCAGGGGGGGCTGGGCAGGTGGGCGAGAGGAACAAAGGAAGAGACAGAGGAAGAGGGGTGGGGGGGGAGCTGAGAAAAGGAAGAGATCAAATATCTGTGTTGAATATTTAATGAAGGGTAAGATTACAAAGTTCGACAACGTGTATCCCATGTCCCCGTCGGCCATCTGAACAACGTATTAGAACATTTCACTTTCTGTTTGTGCTACGAAGGGTGAGGAGAAGAATTTTCACTGGAGACCTGCTTTCCTGGCTCAGACGACAATGCCCTGTGCTTTTGGATCTTTGACCAACAAGTGAAAATGGACCTCTGTCTGGTGAAGCCCTGTCCCCTCCCCCACCGGGGGGCAGAGCAGCTCTGGACCCTCCACGCACAAAACAGAACACGAGGTGGCTTTGCCAGCCCGCTGACTCTAACTGCTTGGAGATCCCCAAAACATGAGCCTCTGAGCCAACATCAGCAACTCTGAGGTTTACAAGACCCAAGATCCTGATGCCTGAGGACATGGAGGGCGGATGGCAGGACTCATGTCCCCCTCAGAAGGCACAGCCCCAATTCGGGAACATTGTATGCATCATCGCTGCTGATGGACTGAGAGGCAGGATGAGCACATCTGACAGTGGGGGGCAAGGTAACTCAGCAAAGCCAGGATTGGCCAGGAGGGATGAAGAGGGGTCATTAGGCAGTGAAAGGATAGTAAAAGGGGGGCCTTTGAAGGCCAGGTCTACAATGTTTGATTGATTGATTGATTGATTGATTGATTGATTTAATTTTTGCAGTGCTGGGGATCAAACCCAGGGCTGTGTACATAGGAGGCAAGTGCTCTATCTGAGTGATGTCCCTGGCTATAACTCTGGATTTGAGTCCACAGGGTACCCTTTTATCAGAGCCCATAAAGTATCTTCATTCAATTTTAGAAAAAGTGCCCCCCCCAAGAGGTGGAGGCCAGGCAAGCAGTCCCTACTGGCCCCTAGGCAGGGTTCTCCATCTCAGGACCCAACCCACACAATCTGGCAACCCTGATTGGTTCAAAACAGAAGACAATGTGGCCAATGGAATTTGAGAAAATTCCACTTAGAGACCAGAAAGAGGAGCTCCATAAGACTCAAGAAAGCTCAGTGCTTCCTTTATCTATCGCTGCGTGCAAACCATCAGAACACCTGCTGGCTTAAGACAGCAATCGTATTTGTTCACGGGTCTGCAGTTAGACTTCTGTATTTCTTCTGGGCATGCCAGTGGCACTCCCGTAACGGCATTCAGTAGAGGGTTGGCTGGGGTTGGGCTCCGCTGGGGAGCCGGATACTGGCCTCTGCCTCTCCACATGCTATCTCCAGCACCATGACTGGCATTTTTACACAGTTGCTCAGGACTTCCAACAGGGCAAAGTCGGAAAGTGCCAAGACTTCAGGCGAAAGCTAGGAACCAGCATCGGTTCCCTTCTGCCACATTCTGTTGATTTGATCAAGTCACATGATCAGTTCAGATGAAGGGGAAGGGAGGGACTACACCAGGATGTGAGTCTTAGAAGGCATGGCCCCGGGCAGCCATCAGCATTAATTAACTACCAATCTACTAAGAGTTAAGATGACCGTCCAAGTAGGATGAGGAGTTCAGGCCTCACTGGAAAAGGTAGTCAGTGAATACATTTTTCTTTTTAGGAATAATCTCAAAATAATTTATACTTGATTTGGGGTATAGTCTTGTTATGCTTTAGATATGAGGTATCCCCGCCCCCACCAAAAGCTCTTATATTAATGCAGGAGGTAAAATGATTAGATTATGAGAACTGTGACCTAATCAGTGGGTCGATCCATTTGATGGATTGGTAATCTGAAAGGACTAACTGCGTAGGGACTGCAGGCAGGTGGGACGTGGCTAGAGAGGGTGGGTGACTAAGGGCATATCCCTGGCATCTCTCGCCCTCTGTCTGCATCCTGACCACCACGAGGTGAGAAGCTTTCCTCTGCCCTGATCTGCCTCGGGCCCACAGCAGCAGTCAGCCAACCATGGACTGAACCTCTGAAACCGTGAGCCCAAAATAAACGTTTCCTCCTCTGAGTTGTTCTTGACAGGTATTTTGCTCAAGCACACACTGAAAATCTTACTAACACAAGTGCATAACCCCAGTTGCATGAATGCTTATGCCTCTATCAAACATTCACTTAATAATCAACAGAAAGATTGGTTGTGGGGTATTCTAATCTCCAGGTAGGAGACTGAGCCTCACAGTGCTTTGGGATTGGAACAGTATAAAATATCCACCTGGCCAGTTATTTCACCCCATCTCCTCCTGCCTACCTCTCTCCCTAGAACCTCCTGTCTCCTCCCATTTTTTCCCTTTCTCTTTTCCCTCCAACTGAAGGGTATTATGTTAGAATATCAGTTTGGTTTCCATACAGAGATAAGAATATACACACTTATTTCTTGTGTAACACTGTGGAGGACAGATGGCTATGCTCCACAGGAACATCCAGGGCTCCAGGCTCCT